GTTAGTTGCTGGCTAATCAATGTCGATGAATGAGACTGTACTTGTAGTTAAGCGTGACCTAATTGCTCTCATCCCAACGGCTCCAAACTTGTTCCTTTCTCGGACGATTTAATTTCCTGAGCTGAAATTGTTGGACGATTTTCCTGAGCTGAAAATGAACCGAAATGTGGGTGTGGTAGTTTCTGGCATGTGGGACCAAAATCATTCTGGGCTTTGCAATATTTATCGGTGTTCGGTGAACATGCTCCACATAGACTGTGGCCCTGTTTAGATGGGACTAAACTTTTTAAGTCCCTATCACATCGGATGTTTGAACACTAATTATAAATATTAAACGTAGACTATTAATAAAATCCATCCATAATCTTGGACTAATTCACGAGACGAATCTATTGAGCCTAATTAATCCATGATTAGTCTATGTGATGCTACAGTAAACATTCTCTAATTATGGATTAATTAAACATAAAAAATTTGTCTCGCAAATTAGCTTTCATTTATTGAATTAGTTTTGTAAGTAATTTATATTTAATACTCTAAATTAGTGTCTAAATATATGGACTAAAGTTAAGTCCCTGGATCCAAACACCACCTGTGACTACAATAAGTTAAAAAAAACACCTTTTTAATGAAAAAAAATTCTTTATTGACTGGACTACTGGATTGAGTGTTACAAAATGTAAACTTCAACGACGTGATATACCCTACTTTTGTTAGCATGTAAACCGAAACAAAATGGTGACTGAGCATTAATCAAACGTGCTATACGCGCGACTGTTTTCAGCTACACTTAGACCAAATAATTGTCGATAACAAACCTGTACTTTTGTAGCCTTGTTCCCCTCAAATCTCTCATCCAAGTGACTAGGTGGACGATGCATACACGCAAGGGAACGCTTGTAGCATGACGCCGACAGCGTGCCCCGGTCTCTCCAGTTTTCTGCTTTCGCAACATGCAATTGCATGGTCCTCTCCTTGGAGGACGTAACAAACTCTGCCGACCTGAATTGCTTGGTCAGTAAAGTCTCTCGGCCACACAGGCGATGAGGCGAGCAACGCATGACTGCACACAAAGGCAGCCAGGTACACTAGCTACCACAGGATCTTTTTGGAGCGGATGACCAGTGTCCAGTGCGAGACAGCACTAGTGTACCAACTCATCCGTTGCATTTGCACATTTGCACTGCAGTTGAACGCTTTAGCTCGGTTTGGTACTTTGGTGACGTTGGTTCATTAATTAGCTGTAACCGTGTTTGCTGTGATTAGATGAGCTAGGACAGTCCCAACCCATAACACTAGATATGGTTTTTATAAACTCCACATTATCAAGAAACTAATACTAGACACTACTCTTACAATGCAAACACCACTATTTCATACTTTAATTTAATGCTACTTATCTCACATAATGTCTTGGATGTTGTGTAGGAACCATGTCTCATGCAAGACATGTTTTCCTTCTCTTTTCTCATTTTATTCACTTGCCATATTATTTTTTTGTCCTAGATAGCAACTTATTTAATGCTATGAACACCATTCTAGTTATTGGGGTGGAAATGCCCTTATTAATTGATTGATTGATGGCTAGATCTGAAGGTAGCCGAAATGGTTAGAGGTAAATTATGCAAGAAATGGACAGGAGGACAGGTTAGCCTTTTTCAAGCTTCACCTTCGGTTAATTATGTTTGAGGTCCGGACAAGAATACACATGGGGATCGAGTGGGGAAAAAGGCCTGGACGCCTTTTAAGCCGCTAATAACAACGGACAGCCGCGCATGCTGGTTAGAGTAGGTAGAGTCGAGCTAGCGTGCTCATGCTCGAGACGAAGACATACTGCAACTACTACTACTCGATGGATGGAAGCAGCATGTCCTCGCTAGGTCCAAACTACAGTGTTTGCCCCAGCTCACATTGCAGCAGAAGACGAGAAGACCAGTAATAACAGTAGTCAGTAGATGTGCTGCGGCACAGCTATTGTTGAGCTCGACACGATTAGGAAAATTCCTCAGGGCGTGTACTCACGGTCTTCTCCGTGATCGTCGTAGATCGGTCAGTACATCTGTCACGCATGGTGTCGTCGATTCGTCGTTCTTGCTCGCTCAGCTGTTCCACACTTCACATGTAGCGTTCTCCCCTAGATTAGCCAGCCAGTTTCTGGCAAACAACCAATTCGATCGTGCAGGCACAGTTGCAGATGAAGTGGACGTGGTGATGAACAGAGGAGAGCAGATCGAGCGAGCGAGCGATCAAGTGGTAAACGGATAGAAATCCAGCAGGAAAACGCATCAGGGCCCGCGCGGCGAGAAATGATGGGGGAAGACTGGTGGTAAAGGGGACGTACATCCCAGCTGTGCAACGGGGGGAAAAGCGGCCTCTGCTGCGTCCGGCTTGTCCTCCACCGGGGCGCGCCATGTGCGCCGTAACGCCCGTTGCTCCCCGGCCGCGGCGCGCGGCGTCCACCGCTCGTCTCCACCCGTCTCACTGCCTCACTCTCTCGTCGGTGGCCACAGTAGTAAACACACAGGCTTGACTCACTGGCTGCCAAAGTGCCAATGCTCCCGAATGTGGCCCAACAGACAGAGGATTAATTAATTATTTGCCACTCTTACGGATGGTGATAAATAATCTGCCCCTAGACCCATATGTGATAGACGCATAAGGGCCCACATGTCATAGAGACATAAGGACCCATATATCATAGACAGCAAGTGACAAATAATTAATTGCCACATCTTAAACGTGGCCCAATGCTAAATGTCCTAGAGACATAGGCCTGGTTTAGTTATCAACCTTTTCTTTAAACTCTTTATTTTTCCCTCATATCAAAACTTTCCTACACACATAAACTTTCAACTTTTTCATCACATTGTTTCAATTTCAATCAAACTTTCAATTTTAACGTCAACTGAACACACCCAGAAAGACACAGGATTTTTCTGCTTCCGATACCTGACATAAGAGATCGTGCCATCGCGATAATGCAAAGGAGAGGAGAGGCAGTAGTAGGCCTTTGGATCTGCACTAGTACCATTTTCAGGTTAGTTTTTTTATTTTTTGTCAAGAATTTTCAGGTTAGTTGTGTTCATGTTCCCTACTAGCAGCTTCGTTCTCGCTTCGACCATGTGGCAAGGGTGGCACTGCAATCTTCTCTCCTATAATAGCAGTAGTAGATTCCAGACCGGCAGAAGCTTGCATTCAAAGCAGGCTGATTAATCTGGTTCAGATAGAGAATTATCGCTCCTGCGCATGCATGGGATCCTGCATCATTGCACGAAGGTTTTTATCATTAGCATTAATATTTTTCTCTCTGCCTCTTGAGAACCACTGAGTGGCCATTGCTGCAGACGAGAGTAGCATGGTGATCTGATGAACTCCCACGCTATGATCAGTGTCAGCCATGTGGATCTTGGAGCATCATGCATCCGAGTCCCAGAGGCATTTCTGTCGGTGTGGCTGGGGAATTCACTCATCGCACGAAAGATTAGGCCGGGAAGGGCAGAATGATGAACATGCTTGGCTACCCTACGTCACTGGACGTCATCCCTGGACCACCATGAACCGGTTCATGATTGGGGCTTGGATTTGTACTGCACCTGCAGCTCGGGCAGCAGTAGACAGTAGTGCGGCGACAACAGCCAAAGGCCAAGACTGGGAAACCACAGAGTGCGCTCATGTGAACCAAACGTTTATTTTCACACTGATTGCAGTGAGCCAGTGAGCTATAGCTCACTCATGGACCATTCATATCACATACTCCCTCCGCCCTAAAAAAAAAAGACAAACCCTGGTTTTCATGCTCAACATTTGACCGTCCATCTTATTTAAAAAAATTATGAAAAAAATTAAAAAGATAAGTTACGCATAAAATATTAATCATGTTTTATCATCTAACAACAATAAAAATACGAACTATAAAAAATTTCATATAAGACGAACAGTTAAATTTAGACACGGAAACCCAGTGTTTGTCTTTTTTTAGACGGAGGGAGTAATCTCTGAGCTGCCTACTTTAGATCACGGCGCTTCAAAAGAGTCAATAGATTCAGACGGAAGAGGACATCAAATACATCCGATATGATACTATTGATACTGCTGCTGATTCAGTGCCCACCTTCAGAGTTCAGAACAATTTCACGGCCACAAATGGCAGTAACGTTTATTTCACGTTAAAACTGAAAGTTTGGTTAAAATTAGAATGATGTAATGGAAAAGTTAGAAGTTTGTGTATATAGAAAAGTTTTAATGTAATGGAAAAGTTGGAATTTAGAAGAAAAAATTTGGAACTAAACTCGGCCTTAGTATTATCCGTCTCAGGCCAAGTTTAGTTCCAAACTATTTCTTCAAACTTCTAACTTTTCCATCACATCAAAACTTTCCTACATACATAAACTTTTAACTTTTACGTCACATCGTTTCAATTTCAACTAAATTTCTAATTTTGGAGTAAACTAAACACACCCCCAGTGGTGACACTGGTTCTGCAATTTGTTTTCCTTATCTTCTTTTTTTGCTCCATTTCACCGTTCGGCTAGGATGGGGAATCAAGCCTGGATCTTGCACTATTGCACACATGGACCGGTTCACCAACCCCACGTGCCGTTGGTGACGCGGCAGGGTGAATTGCATGCTACTAGTATGCTACACCACCTCCATGTGCAGCAGCAGGAAATGACAACGGCGAAGAATAGATGAGATCTGATGAAAGAGAGGTGAATATAAAAAGGTGACCCTGGCTGAAGAATTCGGTTTTAAAACGTCTTGCTACATCAGATTATTCTCTCCCTTCCAACTGATGAGGATTGATCTAAGTTTGGAATGATAAAACTGGAGGACCCAACAAACACATATGAGGACCCACCAAACGTATATATGCTGAATTTACTGTGTAGAGGCCCATTAGTATTGACTTTCGATTCCTTTGTGATGCTGGATGGGAAACCGATTATCAACGATGTTTTTAAAATGTGAAACTGAGTACCACACACAGTTAAGACAAAAGATTGGACAACCGTGTTATGGAAATTGATGCTTAGCTATTTAGCTAATACTCGGATGTAATTACAAAATTGTTGTTCAGAGGAACATTTCGGGAGGATATGCACAAACCTACTAGGCTGCTATACAAGCCATTAGAATGAACAAACAACAGATTCTGCGTATGTACAATTGCGGCGTTTTGTTTCACTACTTGCCCGCTGGTACAGATAGGATACATGATTAAAGCTATGTGATGAAACATTCGGTATAAACCTGTACATGACTCTTCCAATTCCAAGCAAGTTGTTTTGAAGGTCTGTCCAGTCGACCGGGTATGCTTCTGTGTTAGTAAATGTTTCCTGTTCACACTTTTTTCAGCTCACGACTGGCTATCTCTATTTATCCCGCGCATAGGCTCCCTGAATGAGGTTGTTACCTGGCAAGTCAAGTTGCCAGGCCCACTGTTATCTCGTGTGAGTTTTCCTTTGCTACAGAAGTACATACACCAGACATGTTTATGTAAGGAGTTGAAACTATAATATAGACAAGTTAGTTGAAACTATAATATAGAAAAGTTAGTTTTGAACTGTTACTTCATGTTGGACTCTCTGTAGAATATATGTGGAATGCAAAAGATGATATAAGCATGATTTTGATAATCCAAGTTACAGCAGTTCGTGCAGTGAAAAGAAAAGCAGCCATATTCACAGTTATCACCACTTGTGGGTTAAAATGCAATCATAGTTTCATACTTGATTCTGTAGACATTTCGTAGTTCAACATAGCTTAACATCTAGGAAAAACAACCAAGATTGTAAAGACTACTTTGCACTTTTTTAGTGGGAAAAGCATAGGCACAAACAGCAATGAAGCATAACTCAGATTGTCATAACAGACTGTTATATGAACTAGTGATTTCAATTCCAAGGGTCATTTTTACCCCTAAACTTCATGAAAAAAAATCATGATAGACTGTAACTTTTTTAAAAAAGTAAGGACTTACAGGATGATTTTGACTAGAATACCTCCGTGTGCCTTCACAAGAGGTGGTATGCTGTGCACCAGTTAAAACACGAGATAGGCGTCGGAGAAATACTTGAATGTGGTTGTAAATGCTGCAGCATGAAGTAGTAGTTAACACACAGCACACATGAAGTGATAATGTAAACTTTGAAACACTATATAATCCTGTTATTTATTTTGAACCACTCGACCATGTTACTAAATCACTACCAGAGTACCAGTGAAGTTCACAACAGAATGACATGTTAGATGAGGCATTAATCAGGTAAAATTCTAATTCGACAGTCAATACGAGATGTTTTCTGTATATACCTGATTTCATATTTAATGTTCATGTGACCTTGAAAATACTACCACATACGGATGAGAAGGAAGGTTACCTAAGCCGATGCCTGTTGCATGTTGAAAAGAAGGCAACAAAACCATACAGAATGCTTCGAATCGCACGGAAAATCTGAAAAAGAAAGTCAAAGTAAGTTCCATATATCCTATTTCCTAATATAATTACTGGCCGCATCAACATATTTTTGTTACCTGGTACAGAAGATCTTTCCATAGTGACCCCCAGATGGTAGTTTCAGATGCAAGTCCGGTCGATCCGGATGCAGAACCAACTTGATATAAGGAACTCAATGTAGACCAGGTCTCCCTCAGAACTCCAACAATGTCCACAAAAGAGTCTGCCACAAAACTTGCTATCGCAACAACAAGCCGGAAAGGTGCAGCTAGAATTTCTCCAAGAAGCCAAACGAAAGGGTACAGGACTGAATTTGCTGAAGTTAATACAAAAGAGAAAGATATCAGAATCAACACAAAAAGTTTATCATAGTGAGGTCAATACAAATTGAAGAGCAGAGTAGCAGACATATCGTCTCAGAGGTTGCAGAAAACATACCAACATTAAGCACAACACTGAAGACCAGCCAAAAAGGCCATATAATCATCTGCATTGTACTGATAACTACACTGCATGAAGTCTCCATCGCCAACATGATAACTGAGCTCAGATGTCCTACTGTTTCAGCACAAAGGTTCCATAGCGGCAGGGTAAATTCAAGAACCTCCAAAATTGGTCCCATGATTGGCTTTGTCAAAACACTTAGAGCAGATTTAGTAGCAGTTACAATCTTAAGAGACCATGTAAAAGCCTGCTGGAAGTTATGTAGAAAAAGCATGGTTCCAAGATACTTCAGTCGTGAAATCATTTCCCACGTCTCTATCCAGTCAAAGAAAGGGCCAAACAATCTTGATGCAGTTGCCTTCAACATGGGGACATTCTTGTAGAGGTCATAAAATCCTATGAGAACAGTAACTATTGACATCAAGACATACAATGCCCTGGCAAGAGGACACATCCATGGGCGATATGTCTTGCAGAACACTGGATATGACTGGAGAAAAATGACCCATGAAGGAAGGCCATACTCTAGCAATGTTAACAGCCTCACATCAGAAAGTATTACTTCTTTTAGTCTGAAAGGGAGATCGTGGTCATCGAACCGGAATAAGATCAACACATCCTTATATGTGCTAGGCTCGAGCAGAGTCTTGCCACAATCATCATCACTGCAGCACGAGGAAGATGGAGATGATGAATGTGTTGGTGAGGTCACAACTTCAGAATATGATTCTTCAGACATATTATTTCCAGCATCAGATCTTATTATCTTTCTTCTCTTGTAAGGTCCAGAGCAAGGAGGTGGTGTGTATGAGGAGCTTGTAAAACTTGACGACTCTCTCATGCATTGACTAGGTCCAGAATCGTCATCATCACTCTGTACATTCTCACTGTCCCCTTCAGGTGTTGAGAAATAATTCTGAGCGTCATAAAACACATTTCCTGTACAGCAAGCATATAAGTGGTCTGCACATGCAGCAGAGAAGAATGGAGAGCACATTCATGCCTTTACCTTTAGGAGAGATGCTGTTCAAATAATCCTGTAGGAGCTGGCATTCAGAGTAATTTCCAGAAAACCATGAAGTGATTAATGATGAAGCTTGGTTGACACTCTCAAATTCCCATCTCTTCATTGTTTTAGCTTCCACTGCCATAGAAGTATCAGTCTACAACAACATAAAAACAAAATAAGCATGTACCATCCATTAATAGCTATGAATATCATGTTCAGTCTAAAACAATACCTGAAGTTCATTGAAATAGTTCATGCCGCGCACATCAGCCCAGTCTACCTCAAAAATTATAAAGCCATATAAGGTTCGGTGCAGTTCCTTGTTCAGCAGGCGAGAATCCTTCAGCCTATTCACATGAAGCTTTTTATTCCGCATGGCATCATCAATTAAGGTATACCATCTGGATGATGGATTCCACAAATGAGAACCATGTCTAGGATCTTTAGAGAATACAAGTTTCTTCCCAGTTTCATCTCCCTTTCTCCTAGTTCTAGTGTTTGCAAAAGGTGAAAGTCTTGACTGGAGCAAAAAATGACAAGAAGTCAACAAGTAAGACGAGCCAGAATCGATGTAACAAGGGCAATACATGAAAGTGTAAGCAATGAACAAATATTCATAAGTACTCGTTTGTGTGCTTACAAGTGGCTCGTAAAACAGTAAAGCATACCTTTGTGACCATCAATTGCCACAGGTGAGCAGGTTTTGTGTCCTGGTCTTGCAGCCATGGCCGGTTATCAAGCAATATGAGAAACTTCTTCGTATGAGGGCACAAAAATATAGTAAGTTCAGCAAGATATGATTGTAAATCCCTGCATATAATAATTATATCAGACTAACTAACTGTAATATAGATGAAAATCCAAATTTACATTGCACTTTAAGATCATGAGGTTAGTAAATGCAAGCAAAACTGTGAGGAGTAAAACAAAACTTGCAGTTTGCAAGAATTCTTAACACAATTGCCCACCTCAGAAATTAAGATAATTGCAATACAACTTAAGGTCATACGACTTTGCACAACAAATGCAGTCCAATGGATGTACAGAAAAAGGATAAAATAACCGCCACATTGTTCACTGTTTGATATCATATGATCCAGGTGGACAATAGCAGATCAAAATAAAATTAATCAGGAACACAGTATTTAACATTTTCTTTCCTCCAGTGTACGGACGGAGTCATGTATTGCAGCCTACTGAACCTAGAAGTAAAGTAAAGCCACAATTCCAGATTTCCAGTCGATAAGGTATGATGAATGTGCACAAAACACAAAATTATCAACCTACGATAGGCAACTAAACCTAGGAATAAAACCTAGATTGTTTTGCAAACAACAACGTGATGGTATAGTAAGTTTGTTTTATCATCTCTGCATGAATATGTAGGGAGAAATGACAAACCCTGAATTATTGAACCGTTCCAGTATAGTATCGATCCTGTGCCTTTACACTGGAAACATCTACTACCTTAAATTGGAAAGATTTCCAAGAACAGCTTTCCTTTCTACTCCTACTAACTTTAGTCATATCTCTCATCAAGATATACAGTATTCTGTAACAAAATAAATGCTACTAGAATGAAGCAATACAAGACAATTCAGCTACCCACTCCCACAAGTGAGCTTTCCTGTCTTTTTCTCATAAACAGTATGCTGGAACTTCCTCCACCAAGTAACACAAACGAATAAACGACTGTTGTAGTTTTGATCAATTTCCACTGCCCTTTGGGAAACAAGCGTAACTAACTTCAACCGTGTTCATCGAAGTTATCCAGTTAACTTTCTCGTAACTTCTCGTTTTTTTCACTTATATCACAACGGGACTACATTGCATTGTGGACCACACAAATTAGCACCCAAATTATACGAGACTGGAACATTCCACCAAAAGCAATGAAAAGAACGTTTCCACCGCGAGATCAAAACAGAGCCCCCGCACACAGAAGGAGACTTACCCGATTTGCAAGCTCGTAAGGGGGAAGAAATGCCGCTTCCCGCCGCTCTCCATCACGCCGACTCCACCACCTCCCTGAACCACATACGCGAAAACACGCAAAAAATTCCACATCAAACGGGAGATCAGAGGCCACCACAAAATCCAGGCAAAGGCGCAAGCAAAAATTTGCAGAGGTATCTCGTCGAATACCTGCGCAGAGGTCAGAGGCATCCCATGGTGATGCCTATCCGCATGCCAAGGTGGCCAGAGTTAATGGCCACCCCCGGTGGGGTAAATACGCCGCCTACCTCCCCCTCTCCACCACCACGCGGCGCTCAATCACCAATGGCTCCTCCTCAAATACCACCACCACGAGCCTCCCCCCCCCCCCACCCTGCCTCGCGCTGCTCCGGCGAGAGGCGCGGCTAGCTCTCCGCCGCTCCGCCGCCGGTGACGCGGCGTGGTGGTGGAGGCGGCGACCGGATCGCGGCGGGGCCCCGCGCCACAAGCCAACCAACCATCCGAACGGCCGGTACGGGGGCTTTGCTTCCGAGGTGAGATGAGACGGTTCGGATATTTATATCCCGATGACATGTGGAGCCCGAGCACGAGCAGGGCCCACCTGTCAGCGTGCCCGGATTTGTTCTCCGGAGGCGGGTGCGGTCGGCGTGGGGGTGACGTTGATGGCGCGGACTTTCACGAAACCCGGGGGGTGGCTGACAGGTGGGCCCGGAGATTGTGTGCTCCCACAAGCCAGCGTGCCGCGTCATCCGCTTCGGGCATTTCTGGTTTCCCCGCGTCGAAGCAAAGGGGAGACAAATACTACGTGCCGGCCTACCCGACGCCACTGGTATGCAAGTGACGTGTGGGGCCCACTAAGATTGGACCCATATGTCGGTGAGATCTGCAGCATCCGACGTGGAGTAAGGCGAGTGACCCATATACGTAATTATCGAAATCCAGAGTGGGGCACTCAGGGGATCAACTGCGGCTGTTCGGTCACGCGGCGATGGTGTGCGACCGATGATATGGTGACACGTGGACCGTGCTGCAATGATGGCGTTTACTGCAGCGATGACGTGTGGTGTTTCGTGTTCGGACAGGTGCACGGAGGGCTCTAGGTTCTAGGCGCCACATGCAAAGGAGGAACGGCGTCCGCGTGACGCCTCGAGCACCGTGTAACGGGTTTATTGCATGTGAAATTATTGGCCTGTACGCCCAGATTGATCATAGATAAATCAATGATCGTGGCCTCCTGGAGAAAACAAGCTGGAGCTACTCCGTTCAGACAAGATCCAAGGAACTAACCGTGGAAACATGAACGGTCTAATTAAAAGTACTCCCTTATTCTAGCATTTCTCTCATATTGATGTTAATAAATTTAAACATATATATCTATCTAAATTAATTAACATTATTATGAATGTGAAAAATGTTAGAATCACTTACATTGTGAAACGGATGAAGTAGTTTAGAGCAAGTTTAATAGTATAGTTCACTATTAACTCCAATTCATCTATAATCAATCTAATAGCCAATTCATATAATAGTTGCTTTCTATACTATTAATATATGGTCCCACATGTCATATATACATTGTGTCTTGGAGTCCGTGCTGTAGCTGGCTACACATCTGTAGCCCGCTGCTCTTCTCTCTCATCGTTTATCTCATTAAAATATGTTTATAGCTGGCTAATATCCAGCTATTGTACCTGCTCTTATGGGAAAAATATAATTTTGTATGAACCAAATCTAAAAAACAGACCATGATAAAAAGAAAAGGATTTGATTTATCTCCTCGATTATCATAAAAGTATTATCTATCCCCTTAAACTAGAGTATCGGAAATTTGACAATCCCCGAGCTATTAAATCAACACGAACCAAAACCGTACCCCTTCCCATGCGTAAAAAAAAGTGGTAGTTTTAATATTACGTTGCAAACATATGACATCGATTTCATTACATGGCAACCTAATCACGCATTTTATTAGTTTTCTTACCCTCTTATCTATCTTTCTTACTCGCTCGATCAAATATAGGGCCGTCGCTGTCTACGACCTCCTTCCCTGTTGTCCTCTTTCTGTTTCCTGCCACCACCTTGGTCTTTCCACTTACTTTTTTCGATCAATGAAAGAAAGGTAATTCGAGCGACGAGAGGGCCAAAAGGGAGAAAGGGAAAACCTCCTAATGTTGTTTGAAGGAGGGGAGCAACAAAGAACAACACGACCTTGTGGAGGACCACGTTCCGAGCTGGCTAGGAGGGAATGAAGGGGAAGCCCATCTACCATTTATGGGGATGGGAGTGACAGAGGATGCATAGTGGCGCAAATTAGTGGAGGACGGTGGCGGACATGCTTGTCTAGGAGGGGATGAAAGGGAAGTTCGTTGGTGCTATTTTAAAGGAGGGGAGGGCGAGTGAGAGGATGACTCGTAAGCTCATGAAGGATGGTGGCGGGCAAGCTCATATGGGAGGACACCGACAGCTCAAGCTCAAGGAGATCAAATCGTGTCCGCTCACCTATGCATCAAGTATGTCAACCTTCTCATTCACCGAATCAAGTGCTTCAATGCCAACCTCACCATCCCATCCATAAGACACATCCCCTCCATCATTGTACGGGGACCCAATGAGGTGAAACTTGAGCGGGTGGTATAGATCTAGAGGGCAAAACATTGAACCGTCCTCACACCACAACTTCACATGCTATTATCAAGGTCCCTCCATGGCTTCACGCTACCAAGGAGGGAGGCTGGAGCGTTGAGAACTAGGGCATTGCCTAGGAAAGTAGGTTGGGGCGTCGAGAACTAGGACATCACCAAGGAGGGGTTGGTGCGTCATGGAAGAAAAAGAATAACGAGATAGGCTGGTAGGTAGGCATAATGAGCTGATATTTTTGTTGCCATGATTCATCCAGATTTAATAGTTCGGGGTTTAAAATATTTAAGAGGGTAAATCATACTTGTAGGGGTAAACAAAAAGGCCCTAAAATCAACAATGAAATCAAGCTTTAACATTCTATGAAATTTGGCAATAATTGATATATTAATGCTTATAATTCATCAACCCATTAATACATTGACTTGTCTGGTTGTAGTATGTAAATTGAACTACATATTTCATATTTTCGTTCCGTATTGGACCTTAGGGTGGTCATGATCGATCTACCAACGTTGCCGTGATAAAATTATCTATCAACCAATTAATGTATTGGGTCTTTTTGTCAACTCACCATATTGTAGTTCATATAATAACAACTATATATATAAATTGCTCACCGGGTGTATTGACGTGTTGTGCACCAGATAGCTGACTAGCTGTGCGCCTGCTTCCGTTGTTTGTTCGAAAGGCATATCCGGCGTGCCGCTTGCGACAGCATCTTCCATCTCCACATCGGCAACGACCAGACGATGGGTTTGCTTTGGAATCGCCATCGCGTTGCAGCATGCAGGCCACATGGGCCAAGGCTCGAAGCCCAATCACATCTTTTCGTTCTTTACTTTCCGAGAAGGCCCAAAATAATTTTAGCCCGTTGCGGTCTTTACTCTTTACGCATCTGTTCTCGTGCGATCGTGCCCAATCCCTCGATCCTGTCCACCCAGAATATGTCTATTTGACTTCTCTAAGCTCTTGCTCGTGATTAAATAGCCTCCCTCAACCTAAAACTGCATATAACATCTCCCTCATTTTTAAAACTAGTGTAAATCGACTTATTCAATGGTTTGGAAAACGATTTCTGCCGATGTGGCTGGTTGACCCCAGGGCTCTGCAGTTGCGTCGCCACCAACGGGGCGTGTAACATCGATTACTTATGGTCTCCTTGGCGGGATATGTGCTGCCGACCTCAGGAGATAGATGGAAAGGAGAGGAGAGAGGAAAATAAAGAGAGGAGAGTGGCTGATAGGTGGGTTTAACCAGCTGATTCAGCGAGTCAACTATAATTAACATATCACGTCTACAGGAACCACTTCCTAAATCATCGAAAGAGTTTGATTTGTATCGGTTTTTCAAGATGGGGAAGACATTATATTCAGTTTTGCTGTTGAGAGGCGATTCAATCAAGAAGAGAGATAAAGAGAGTCATAATAGACTTATTCCTCCCCCGTTTTGCGCACCGACTTCGGCCCGGCCCAACCCAGCCAGCACCTCTGCCCTCCTCGAGCCTACGGCTACGAGGCGGTTGCTCGCCGCCCCAATAAATACCCCCCGCCTCCCCTTCCGAGTTCCGAGCAATCGATCGAAACGCTTCCCCCTCATTCTCGCACAGCATCACACACGCGGAGTCCGCGCAGGGAGACCACGCGCGACTAGGCGCTCGACTCTCGGCGGTTGCTCCGCGGCATCGCGCACCCACGCCGCCACGACTCGCGAGAGTAGGGTGCGGAACCCTAGCCTCCGCAATGTCGCGCGGCAGCCGCGAGGAGGAGGATGAAGAGGAGGTGTACGACTCGGAGGAAGAGGAGGAGGAGGAGGGGGAGGTGGAGGAGAGGGGCGGAAAGCGGTCACGCGGGGGCGGCGGCGGCGGGAAGTGGTCCGGCGTAGAGAGCTTCATCGACGACGCGGCCAGTGAGGATGAGGATGAGGAGGAGGAGGAGGATGACGACGAGGACTACGTGGGTGGCGGCGGCGGCCGTGCCCGCAAGAGGAAGAGGGCGTCCATCCTGATCGACGATATGGCTCAGGTCGACGATGAAGAGGAGGAGGAGGAGGATGGCGAGTTCGAGGACGGTGAGTGCTTCCTGGTGGTCTCACTGGTGTTTGAACTGTGAATCCGTGATAGAATCGTTAGATTGATTTCCCAAATCCGAAATTACGAAGCACAGCGAAATCAGCAATTTCGTTTCGGTTTCTGCTAGCTGAGTCATTGGACGTAGAATTTGTGTTTGTTAATTAAGCGCTAAGTTGAGCGAACCAACAATTTCAATGCTAGTTCCTTCCCGGTTACCCTGGATAATCAACTCTGTTCGAAATGGTCCAGGTGTAGATTCATTAAATTTGGTGGTCAATTTCGTATTGATTCCATGTTGTTGCAGTTCTATGGTTGTTTGTGGTGGTTTAGTCTCATCTAATGGCAATAAGAATCGAGATTTCTGTTTAGCGATATGTGAAAACTTCAGTTGGAGGCAAAAGTTTATATTCATTCCGGGATTTTTGTCATAAATTGGGCAGATTTGCTAGGACAAAAGTAGTTCCGTCAAACTAACTCGACACCAATTAGGCCTTCACCAACCAAGAAGTTAACTGGGCGAGTGGGCGTAGTTCATTCAATCATCTCTATTTAAAGCCACGTTGCCTTGAATGGCAGGACTCTGCGACATGCCAATATGATGGACTGAATTTGCTGCTACTACCTATTATCAATGTTCAAAGTTGTCTGAATACGCTGATGGCCTGATGGCTGTTCTATGTTATTGTGATAGATCTGTTAAAAAATCTTCGTTTCAAATGTGAAACCTAATTGGAAGATGCTCCTACTCTTTGTTTCGAATGCGGCACAGGGAAGATGCTCCAATTAATTCATAAACTAACTAAGCTGTTTACTTGTGCTGAC